ATCATGCATACTAGTCTACTGCAGGAGACCACAAAAGAATTATTGATGCGTTTGAATTTTGGTGCTGGCAGAAATATTGAATGTACCATCAACTGCCAAAAGAACAAACAGATACGTCTTGTGAGAAGTACAGCCAGAATGTTCCTTATAAGCAAACATGGTGATACTTCCTCATATACTTTGGGCATATTATCAGGAGAGACCAGACCTTGGGAGAGGACATCACACTTGGTAAAGTGGAAGGTCAGTGATAAGGAAGGAGGCCCTTGGTGAGATAAATTGACATAAACACTGCAACAATGGGCTCAAACTTAACAACAATTATAAAGATAGGGTCCTGATGGCATAGTGGTTATGAGTTAGTTGGGCTGAGGTTCGAAACAATGTGCCGCTGTGTGGGAAAAAAAAAAATGAGGCTTTCAATTCTCTTACAGGGCTATAGTCTCAGAAATTCACAGGGCAGTTCTGTCTGTACTGTAGGGTCACTATGAGTCTTAATCAACTCTGGCAGTGAGTTTGGTTTTAAGAATTTGGTGAGGATACAACAGGACCAGGCAGTATTTTGTTCTGAACATAGGGTCACTATGAGTCAGAACTGACCTGATAGCATCTCACAACAAAGCAGCGTTTAATCATACCTCTGATTCCTATTAATTGTTCCTGGTTTTTAATCAATCATATTAGGCTCGGAGGGTAAAGACTTCTTGATGGAAAAGTCTCTGTCTTTAACATCTTTATGGTCAACATTTAGTTCAGCATCCAAACCTATGGCACAGAAGGCTAGATGGTGAATATATAGATAAATCAAGGCTTGATTGGTGGCTGTTTATCTAAATATGTAAAAAGCTATAAAGTAAGTCTAGTAAAATACCTTTTTTTTTGCAGTCTTCAACCTCCCATTCAAATTTACTCTATAAAATACTGCCAGGGTTGTTGATAAAAAATACAGACTTATGTTAAACTTGAAAATCTGCTTGAAACACCCATACCATTTTATTTTATAAATAGCAATGTCATATTTTAATTGTTTCAGATCTAACCTACATATGCATTCTTCAACAATGCCTAACATAGAATCTCATGTTCTAGCCATAGTAAAATTTTGAAATTAAAAAACTGTACCCATTTGTGAATTTGTTACTTCCATGTCAAGCTCTTAGATCTGTTCCATAGGCTCCATTGCTAGTATAGTCGATTTATCTAGGATTTTAGCACGGTAAATGACTTGCTGTATTTATTTGACTCAAATTCAATTATGTTCATTTCCATAAAATGTAAAAATGATTAATATGGTGTGTTAGACAGGGTTCTCTAGAGAAATAAAACCAGAACACTTATTATTTTATATAGGTATAAAATAATATATATATGAGGATAGATATATACAGCACAAGGGAATATAACAGCTAATTAGTCCACACTGCATGCAGTACAGAGGGCTCAATTCAACTCACTTCCTTGTAATAGTTAATATACTGGAAGTCCTTCAACTCATGAGGGTTGCTGGGTCCAAGGTCAAGGAAACAGACAGTTGAGTCTTCTGTAGAGCAATGCAGGCAGTCTGGCCACAGGCAGCAAAGAGCAGGGTGGGTCACCAACACTCAGCCAGACAACAGGATCCAACAGTCCCAAGCTCAAGCAATGTATACACCAGCAGCATGGTGAAGCAGGTCTCCAAGGAACCTCAAGCTCTAGTGACAAAATCCACAAGCTGGGTGTCCCATGGGTAGTGTAGCTCACAAGTTGAGGCAGAGAACTAGGTAAGCCAACCGGTCCAATCACCAGAGAAAGAGAGACACACAGCAAGGCAGGGTTTGCCGAGCCATTTATCTCCTTGTCCCTCAAACAAACTGCAACCTTATTAATCCCACAGGTTCCTATTGGCCAAGTTGGCACAATAAACCTACCTATCACATATGGGATACCAACCACAGCCTAATTCACTGTAGTTCAGTTAAGTCCAAGTCACAGCAACCCTAAAGGAAAGTGTAGGACTGACTCCTGTCAGTTTGTAGGGCTGTATGCCTCTGGGGGAGCAGAAAGCCTCATCTTACTCAAGCAGTACAATTTTAAATTGCTGATCTTGCGATTAGCACAAAACTGGTAAAAGTTATTATAAATGACTAAATTTAATAAGAAATACAACATACATCCTCAATGGTTTTTATTGTTTTTTTATCTTGAAAAGCCTCCTTCCTGGAATAAATAAACTGTATAATGAAAATGCTCCCTTCTCTACTTTATTTACCCTAGGAATGAGGCTTATTAACCCTGCAGGGTTTTTTGGTGGCTGATTTCTCAGGATTATATTTCCAGGTCTTACATCAAGGCACCCCAGTCTAAGGTGAATCACCAAATGTTTGGTTATCAGCTGAATATGCTAATCATCTGGCCACCCACATGTTCCCTTTTGCATACGAGGTGCTTTAAAAATTGCACAAACTTTTACGAACCTGATTCAAAGGCAGTAAAACCTCACCCCTATTTTGTCTGCAGCGTGATTTATGCTCTAGACTTCATCATTATTACTTTGAATGTGTCAGGCTGCTCTGAGGTCACACCCTTAAGGTTTGTAGAACCCTTTCTATTGAGTTAAGATCTTTTAGTTCCCACTTGTATTCTTTGGAAGACTGCATGGTACAGATTTAAAGCACTTGAATACTAACCAAGAAGTCAAAGGGTAGTGTTCATTCACAGCACCTAAACAAAAGAAAGAAAAGGGCTTGTTGACCTGTTGCTGCTATTGTTAGGTGCCATCCTGTCAGTTTCCTTAGTCCTCGAGGTAACCTCCTGCTGTTCTATAAGCCAAGGAGATGGTGGACAACAGATTTGCCCAGGACAAAGCCTCGGTTGATCATTTGCTTTGTTTGACCATTCAGCTTTGTTTCTGTCACCAAGATCATAATTTTTAACTACTGTTCTTTCCTCTTTGTGTTTAGTTTTTGCATTCCAAGTGCCAGTAATGATCAATGCTTCTGTTTCTTCATCAGTAGGTTGTAGTATGTAGTGTGGTTGGTGCATACATTTGAATAATAGCTGCATGGATTGGACTTTTGTACTGTGATATAATCTTATCCTACACAGCACTGTATTGCAAGATAGATCGTGAAATGCGCTTTTTGATAAGGAATGCAATACCATTCCCAGCATAGTAAGTCAAAAGATTTTCTGATTCAAAATGCTTGATACCAGTCCAATTCAGCTCCCTAATGCCAGGAATATTGATCTTTATGTGTTCCTTTCCATTTTTGATGACATCCAGTTTTCCTAGATTCATACTTAGTGCACTTCAAGTTCAGATTACTATTCGATTTTTGCTACTGTTTCTTCTTAGCTTGAGTGGTACCCATCAGCAAACAAGGCTCTGGAAGGCTTTACTCCTTGAGGCTTTACTTAATTCACATCACTGTCACCTGGGTGGACTCTGCTTGAGAAAGCAGTGCCTCCTCTGTCACCTTTAGCGTGTATTCTGACCAGAGGGGCCTCTCATCCAGCGCTCTCCAGTAATCCTCTGCTTCCATTTCTTAGGCTCTCAGTAGCTGACAATGTTTCTAATATATGTTTAAGGTGTTCAGTGGTGTGTTAGGGATGCTTTCTCGAAATCAACTGCTCTTGTATATAAAGTTCTTCCTTATACACATATGAGTGTTTATGGATTTGTTTCTCTAGTCAACCCAGACTAACTCAAGTGTCTGCTTTCTCTGAAGTAGGAGGCGATTTCTTCTTTGTAGTCTGTTCTTAGTCTGGAAGCTCAGCTGAACCCATTCACCATGGGTGACCTTGCTGTCATTAAAAAATATCCGTAACAAAACTTCTAGCATCACAGCAGTTCATAAGCCTTCATAGTATGAAAAACTGAACGACAATAGGTGTCCCCTTTCCCCAAAAATCTAACCATGGAAATCTTTGTGGAGCACAGTTCTAATTTGACACACTGCTTTGAGCTGGAGTTAACTTCATGGCACCGTGTTCTGGTTGTTCTTTGAAGTAATGCTTCAAATTAGCCAAATAGTAGCCGCTATTAGGCTAATCTCCTTAGAGAGGGTGGGGAGCAGAGATGGAGAGAGAGACAGGAGCCCTGAACTCCTGGGCGGTGTGGCTTCTCTGACTCATTGCTGGAGTCAGTGAAACTCGCTGGGAAGCACAGAGTAAACTTCTCCTTTTCCTTCTCTCTGGCCTGGCCTCAGTTTATCTCTGCGGTGAACTTAATATTTGGTGCCAAAAACCCAGACGGAGTGAGCCCCCTCTTAGCTGCTCAGTACAGTTCTGGGGAGCCCTGAACTCCTAGGTGAGCCCCATGGGCCCCAGTGGGGGACCCGAGAAGTCACTCAATATGTGGTGGAGAATGAGTTTTAAGCTAGTCAGGAAGGGAAAGTAAAAACTGCAGGTGGGCAAACAAGGAGGAAGGGGAAGGTGTTACAACTGCAGGGGCTCTAAGCCGCCTTCATCCATACAAATTCTGAGGTAGGCTGGTGCCTTGATCATTCCACCTGATGTCTCCAGCAGTTGGATCATTGATCTTGGGTCCTTTGAAGTTAGCTATTTTGGTCCAGTAGGGGCAGGCAGGCTTTTTCTAATGTCCTCTGTCCGGTACCTGACCCAACCTTATATACTAAGAGTTCTGTGGTATAGTGGTTCTGTTTTGGGCTGTGATCCACAAGATCAGCAGTTAGAAATCACCAACAGTTTTGTGATTCTCAAATGGGGCTTTCTACTCCCTTAAAGCAGAAAGCCACAGAGACAATTCTACACTCTTCTATGGGGTCATGATGAGCTGACTTGGACTCCATGCATTGAGTTATTGAGTAGTGTTTACTATTTTTTTTAAGTACATGGTTTCAGTTGGGTCTTGCAGAATTATTTATATATCTCAGTAAAACATTCTTTACTTACTTATTTAAAAACCATCGGTAGGTGCGTTTCAGTTCCCAAGTCCGAAAAACAAACAAAAGCAAGCAAAGAAACAAAAAACAGCAGATCTTTGTTTCTTTCATCCTCAGGTGATATTTGTGACCCCAATCCCTGTGAAAATGGAGGGGTCTGTCTGTCAGGATTAGCTGGTGGATCCTTTTCCTGTGAGTGTCCAGATGGCTTCACGGATCGCAACTGTTCTAGTATCGTGGAGGTTGGTAAGTGCAAGATGTAAACATTTCTATACTTGCTCTTTTCCTTCTTTCACGAGTGAGTGATAAGATGACTTCATGTTGCTAATTAGTTTACTGCAGCATCCGACTATCAATTATTGTCATTACTGGTTTATCATTAGCATTACTCTGAATCACATTTTTATTAATTCTACTTAAATAAATATTTATACACCTTAGTTACTAACATTATAATTAAAAGCACTAAGAATAATACTTGGATAGAATAAATTCTTGTTACCTCTAATATGAAAATAAATTTAAAACTTTATTCTCACTGGAAAATAAACCCAAAGTAAATTTATTCAAGTTAAATAATCACTGTGTATAAAATGGTTTTTATTTTAATGACTGTTAGTATCCATTAATATTTTATGGATGTTCTCATCATTTCTTTCCTGAGAATTTAAGTATATGAAGGAAGACAATATTTCAACTGCAATGATCTTTAATGCCTTTTCAAAAACTTTGCTTTCCAAAAGTTTATTACCGTTAATGAAAAATGTTTTTTTTCCCATCTGTGAAGTACTTCATTGACATGCATGGCTATGGATTCAGGATAACTTCTATAATTTCTGAATAACCCCATTAAGGAAATAGCTGTACTTTAAAATAATTTAGCATTTTTTTACCTTTTTACAGAAAATTTCTCACTGATTGAAAGAAATTCCATGATGAAGTTAAAAAAAAATCTACATTTTCCACCTCAATACCAAGAAAAGTGAAAAATTGACTATGTGTTTGATATAAGAAAACTATATTAGACTAAAGCTCTGCCAATGAGAAAGTGCACCCAAAACACTTAAACCCTCAAGTTGCTTTAAAAAAATTTTTGAAAAAGAAAAACAATAATGTAGGGATTAGTTTGAGTCATGCATCATTTTACTAATGTGCCTAATAAATATCTTATGCATAGAGATATTGTTTGACTGAATTAAAGTATTAAATAACATCATTAACTTGCTATTATTGGCAACCAGTCAGTATTCACTAACTGTATAGTATCCACTACCAATAATAGTAAATTAATGATCTTATTTAATTTTAGCATGATGGATCTTTAATGCATTTTCCCTATTTTTCCGTTGCATTAGAATAAATTCATCATTTCTGAAAGAGTCCATTATATTACTACTGAAAAATAGTTGGTTTATTTAATTCATTTTAAAAACATTTCTCTTTATTTTATGTTAATATCAAGTTGATATTTTTGGTAGGATGACATAATGCTATGAAAATAAAAATTTCAATCACTTTGGCCCAGTGTCTGAATATGTAATTTTTTCAGATTTAATATTGTAAATACATCCTATGTATATGGAGATTTATATCAAGAAATGGCGCACATCTCACACCTAACCTTAAGCCCTAAACTAGTAACAACTGGTTCTTATAATGAGCCCCTGCTCAATACTTACACTCATGAAGAGATCACTGAAGATATGGGTGATATAGAAAACGCTTGAAAAGAAAGCAATCATCTACGTGAGTTGTCAGCTAAATGCATATGTTAGAAGAACACCAGCCTGTGTGACCCAAAGACTGTAAATAATAAAATCCAAAATGAGAAGAGGGAATTGTATTTGAGCTTAAATTGAGCACCTTTTTGCAGAAGGCTATGGATGACAATGAAAGCCCAAAATCTATTTGCAGAGTCCACCTGTGGATTAAGCCTCTATGGCAGTTACATAATCTTTCAAATTGTGAAGGGTGGAGTCTGGCACCTGTATGGCCTCTGTGTGGGCATGGCCCTTTCCTGAGGATTTTGGGAACCCCTGTCTTGTCACTAGAGATGGAAGAGATGCTCTCTGCTTTGTCTTACTGGTGATAAGACACATGGAGCTACTCTAGAGCCCTGGAGCTGGAGGAGCCATGTGGAGACTCCTGCCAGTGTTGAGATGTTTCTACTGCCACTACAGCCACAAGACCTTTTACCCACTGGCCTGTGATCTTCCTGCATTCAGCATTATTGCATGTGTTGCATGAATCTGAAGAAGAATTTATAGATTGGTATCAAACATATGAACTAATACTGGACTTATGGACTTGAGCTGGACTGGGTTGAGATGTTTTCTTAATATACAATTATTCTTTATATAAAGCTCTTTCTTATACATAAAAAAATTAAGCCATGGTATATAATTTAACCACAAATATTTTTAATCGGAATGTATAGGAAAAACAACAACACTGCCATCAAGTCGATGACAACCCATACAAACCCTTTAGGATAGGGTAGAAGTGGCACTGTGGATTTCTGAGACTGTAACTGTTTACTGGAGTAGAAAGTTTCATCATACATTGATTTCTACTCAGGAATATAGAAGTAGTGTTTTCATAACATTCTAGTCCTTCTTAATTTTAATTTTCAAATGAAACAATGTGTCTATATTTGCTTAGAAAACAGTGGCCTTTGGTTCCTAATTTAGATATTTATATTTGCTCACTGCAGGGTACAATTGGACATCATCTCTTCTCATTGCAGCATATCTGAGGGGGGTGTTTCAAATGCTTGCTATTCTTAGTGATAAAAGCTCTCATGATTTAAAACTAAAACCTCACTACTTTTCAGGTACCCTGTTTTAACTTCTTGATGACACCTATTTCAAATAAATTCTCATTCAATTTTTCACTTTTTTCTTCTCTCCTAAAGAATCTGATGTCATAGAACACAAAATACTTCACCATATTTGCAACCAATCCTCACATCACTTACATTCCAATATTATGTGTTGAAGCTTGGAGGAATGTACTTGCTTATGTTCATGCCCTTCATTTAGTAGTGAACATGGCTTATCTTTGGGGCTTTGGGGGCTTAGTCCTGCATACCTCCAACTCAGTACTTTTGGGGCATATGTTCATCTTTCTCTCCCTTCCTATACATTCATGCACTTCAGTCTCTTTAGCCTTTTACAGTTTTTAAAAGACTCAGCTCTCATTTTAAAAGACAGAAGGCAAGGACACATCACCCTGAACAAAAGAAAGACTAAGTTCCCATTCATATCCTCTAATTTAAAGACATAAGCCAGAAGAGCTAGTGTTGGCACAGATGTACACTGGACACTGTAACCTTCTTCAGGGGGCTTGCAAACAAAATCCCTGTGGCTAATTGTCAAATGACTCCCCAATTACCTACTTACGTTGTTGAGTGGGTGCTGTTCAATTTGGAACTTAATGCTGATGGATTTTTTCCCCTACATAATTCTCTATTACCAGTTAACAATCTAGAGTTCATATTTGGAAGCCTTAGGGATTATTACATCATTCTGTTCTGTGACATAATTCTCTTATGTATACTATATCAGATAAATCCAGTTAACTAGTATGGTAGCAAATATAAGCTTTCATCACTTAAATAACCAAACTTTCTGCCACTGAATCAATGCTGACTCATAACCGCTTCTTGTGTGTTTCTGAGACTGTAACTGTTTACAAGAGTAGCCTAGACAGCCCTATCTTTCTCTCTCAGAGCTGCTAGTGGTTTTGAACTGCCAACCATGTAGATCACAACCCAATTCATAACCACTACACAAGAAGGACAAAATAAATAATCAGCTTGGTTGCTTATTGCGGTTGACAAAGTCACAGAAATTTCTATCTAGGAAAGCAAATAAATGAATACACAATTATGATGAGTGTTATAGTAATCCACCGACATTGCATTGTTTCTGGTGCATAGCAACCCTCTGTATCACATGGGTCGCCTAAGACCATTGGAAAACACGTATTTCCCATGGTCTTAAGAAGCGAGACACCGCCCCTCTATCTGTCTCCAGATAAGCCCACATATGGGTACCCGGCGTGAAGACATTACCAATGTTACACCATGCTTCCAGACAACATTTCATGTATTTGTCATTAGAAATAAATATTTAAAAGGAAAGGATATTTCACAATATATAATTACATATTGTTTTTGTGATTACTCACTATGCTTTAATTATATCCAATTTGTAACAATGAAAATACATCCTACATATCAGATATTTTACATTACGATTCATAACAGTAGCAAAATTACACTTATGAAGTAGCAATGAAAATACTTTTCTGGTTGGGGGTCACCACAACATGAGGAACTCTATGAAAGGGTCGCGGCAGGACGAAGACTGAGAATCAGGGTTCTATATCGAACAGAGTAGGAACAGGCAACTGCCTCATTCTCCAACTGCTGGTAGCTGGTAGATTCCAAGCACTCACCTTGGGGTTACCAGTCTATTGTGTCACCACTATGCCACCTGGGCTCAGTTGATGTTATGACAGGAAAAACTAAAGGTCCCATAAGCATAGGAAGAAAAAAACACATTTTACTTAACCTGAAAATTAGTGTTGCCGTTGAGAGGGTCCCAATCCATAGTGAACTCATATCTGTCTGGTAGGACTTTCTTTCATGGTATCTTGGTGAATTCAAATTAAATACTTTTGAATTAGAGTCAAACTATGTGTATCTACTAGGAATGCTGTACTAACTAGAAAACAGCAACAACAAGGAAACATAATCCTAAAAATAACTTCAATTTATCTGGAGGAAAGCAAAATGTATTCTTTTTTTTCAAAATGTATTCTAAACAGAGGAAATAATGTGTAAAAAAAGTCAGACTATGACAAAAATCATGGAGCAAAGGCACGACAAATCCAATGAGCCAGATAATGAAGGTTACTGTGGTCGCTGCTTGGCGGGTTGGGGAGAGTGGGCAGGAATAAAGCAGAGAGGGTGAGATTATCCAGTGCTGGGTGATGTCTCAAGGACGAGAACGTTACACTGAGAGCAATGGCGAGCATTTGTGCTCTTGGATGATCACTGTCGCTGCAAGAGAGGAGATACACTGGAGCCAAGTAGGACATTATCTAAGTCTGTGTTAGCAAAGTAACAAGGGGCGGAGAGCGTGAGTATTTATAAAATACCATGAACAATTATCAGTGATTTATCAACTGCTGAGGGAGAAAGACAGGGCTTTCTAGGCCCGTATAATTAGTCTTGGGAA